CGATGTAGGACAGATTTGTACGATACTAGATAGGTGAGGATGTAGGACAAATCTGTAAGGTACTAGATAGGTGATGGTGTAAGACAGATCTGTACGATACGATACTAGATAGGTGACGATATAGGACAGATCTGTACGATACTAGATAGGTGAGGATGTAGGACAGATCTGTACGATAATAGATAGGTGGCGATGTATGACAGATATGTGCGATATGATAGTAGATCGGTGACGATGTAGGAGAGATCTGTATTATACTTGATCGCTGACGTTGTAGGACAGATGTGTACGATATTAGATAGGTGAGGATGTATGACAGATCTGTACGATACGTATAGGTGACGATGTAGGACAGATTTGTACGATACTAGATAGGTGAGGATGTAGGACAAATCTGTAAGATACTAGATAGGTTACGATGTAGGACAGATCTGTACGATACTAGAAAGGTGGAGATGTAGGACAGATATGTACGTTACGTATAGGTGACGATGTGTAAGATACGATACTAGATTGGTAAAAATGTTGGACAGGGTTGTATGACGCTAGATAGGTGGCGGTGTAGGACAGAAATGTACGATAGTAGATAGGTGGAGATGAATGACCGATCTGTACAATACGATACTAGATAGGTGACGTTGTATGACAGATCTGTACGATACTAGATAAGTGAAGATGTAGGACAGATCGGTACGATACGTATAGGTGACGATGTAGGGCAGATCTGTATGATACGTTACTACATAGGTGAAGATGTAGGACTGATGTGTAAGATACGATACTAGATTGGTGAAGATGTAGGACAGGGCTGTATGATACGTATAGGTAATGTTGTAGGACAGATCTGTACGATATTAGATAGGTGAAGATGTAGGACAGATCTGTACGATACTAGATAGGTGAAGATGTAGGACAGATCTGTACGATACGTATAGGTGACGATGTAGGATAGATCTGTACGATACTAGATAGATGACGATGTAGGACAGATCTGTACGATACGTATAGGTTACGATGTAGGACAGATTTGTATGAGACGATAATTGATAGGTGACGATGTCGCTCATATCTCTACTGTACGATACTAGATAGGTGATGTTGTATGACAGATCTATACGATACTAGATAGGTGGCGGTGTAGGACAGAAATGTACGATACTAGATAGATGGCGATGTAGGACAGAAATGTACGATACTAGATAGGTGGCGACGTAGGACAGATCTGTAAGATTCGATACTAGATAGGTGGCGATGTATGACAGATATGTGCGATATGATAGTAGATCGGTGACGATGTAGGAGAGATCTGTATTATACTTGATCGCTGACGTTGTAGGACAGATGTGTACGATATTAGATAGGTGAGGATGTATGACAGATCTGTACGATACGTATAGGTGACGATGTAGGACAGATTTGTACGATACTAGATAGGTGAGGATGTAGGACAAATCTGTAAGATACTAGATAGGTGATGGTGTAAGACAGATCTGTACGATACGATACTAGATAGGTGACGATATAGGACAGATCTGTACGATACTAGATAGGTGAGGATGTAGGACAGATCTGTACGATATGATTCTAGATATTTGAAGATGTAGGACAGATATGTACGATAGGATACTAGATAGATGACGATGTAGGACAGATGTGTAAGATACGATACTAGATTGGTGAAGATGTAGGACTGGGCTGTATGATGCTAGATAGGTGGCGGTGTAGGACAGAAATGTACGATACTAGATAGATGGCGATATAGGACCGAAATGTTCGATACTTGATAGGTGGCGACGTAGGACAGATCTGTAAGATACGATACTAGATAGGTGGCGATGTATGACAGATATGTGCGATACGATACTAAATCGGTGACAATGTAGGAGAGATCTGTATTATATTAGATAGATGACGATATAGGACAGATCTGAATAATACTAGATAGGTGAGGTTGTAGGACAGATCTGTACGATACGTATAGGTTTACGAGGTAGGACAGATTTGTACGATAATAGATAGGTGAGGATGTAGGACAGATCTGTACGATACGATAATTGATGGGTGACGATGTAGCTCATATCTCTATGGTACGATACTAGATAAGTGAAGATGTAGGACAGATCGGTACGATACGTATAGGTGACGATGTAGGGCAGATCTGTATGATACGATACTACATAGGTGAAGATTTAGGACAGATGTGTAAGATACGATACTAGATTGGTGAAGATGTAGGACAGGGCTGTATGATACGTATAGGTAATGTTGTAGGACAGATCTGTACGATACTACATAGGTGACGTTGTAGGACAGATTTGTACGATACTAGATAGGTGAAGATGTAGGACAGATCTGTACGATACGTATATGTGACGATGTAGGACAGATTTGTACGATACTAGATAGGGGAAGATGTAGGACAGATCTGTACGATACGTATAGGTGACGATGTAGGACAGATTTGTACGATAATAGATAGGTTTGGATGTATGACAGATCTGTACGATACGTATAGGTTACGATGTAGGACAGATTTTTATGAGACGATAATTGATAGGTGACGATGTCGCTCATATCTCTACTGTACGATACTAGATAGGTGATGTTGTATGACAGATCTATACGATACTAGATAGGTGGCGGTGTAGGACAGAAATGTACGATACTAGATAGATGGCGATGTAGGACAGAAATGTACGATACTAGATAGGTGGCGACGTAGGACAGATCTGTAAGATTCGATACTAGATAGGTGGCGATGTATGACAGATATGTGCGATATGATAGTAGATCGGTGACGATGTAGGAGAGATCTGTATTATACTTGATCGCTGACGTTGTAGGACAGATGTGTACGATATTAGATAGGTGAGGATGTATGACAGATCTGTACGATACGTATAGGTGACGATGTAGGACAGATTTGTACGATACTAGATAGGTGAGGATGTAGGACAAATCTGTAAGGTACTAGATAGGTGATGGTGTAAGACAGATCTGTACGATACGATACTAGATAGGTGACGATATAGGACAGATCTGTACGATACTAGATAGGTGAGGATGTAGGACAGATCTGTACGATAATAGATAGGTGGCGATGTATGACAGATATGTGCGATATGATAGTAGATCGGTGACGATGTAGGAGAGATCTGTATTATACTTGATCGCTGACGTTGTAGGACAGATGTGTACGATATTAGATAGGTGAGGATGTATGACAGATCTGTACGATACGTATAGGTGACGATGTAGGACAGATTTGTACGATACTAGATAGGTGAGGATGTAGGACAAATCTGTAAGATACTAGATAGGTTACGATGTAGGACAGATCTGTACGATACTAGAAAGGTGGAGATGTAGGACAGATATGTACGTTACGTATAGGTGACGATGTGTAAGATACGATACTAGATTGGTAAAAATGTTGGACAGGGTTGTATGACGCTAGATAGGTGGCGGTGTAGGACAGAAATGTACGATAGTAGATAGGTGGAGATGAATGACCGATCTGTACAATACGATACTAGATAGGTGACGTTGTATGACAGATCTGTACGATACTAGATAAGTGAAGATGTAGGACAGATCGGTACGATACGTATAGGTGACGATGTAGGGCAGATCTGTATGATACGTTACTACATAGGTGAAGATGTAGGACTGATGTGTAAGATACGATACTAGATTGGTGAAGATGTAGGACAGGGCTGTATGATACGTATAGGTAATGTTGTAGGACAGATCTGTACGATATTAGATAGGTGAAGATGTAGGACAGATCTGTACGATACTAGATAGGTGAAGATGTAGGACAGATCTGTACGATACGTATAGGTGACGATGTAGGATAGATCTGTACGATACTAGATAGATGACGATGTAGGACAGATCTGTACGATACGTATAGGTGACGATGTAGGACAGATTTGTATGAGACGATAATTGATAGGTGACGATGTCGCTCATATCTCTACTGTACGATACTAGATAGGTGATGTTGTATGACTCACGTAGAATTCAATTTCATATAGAACAACTAACATTATTCTGAATAAACCGAGAAAGTTATTCAGTAATATAAGCTGTAAACAAACTGTATAAACAAAGTATTTGAAATTGACCCATATTGGAAAACTGAGCACGTATTCACGTCACGCATGATTAGCGCGCACCCGTACCTCACCCAAACAACACATGCACACCACTAAATATAACTATAAAAAAAAACCCGACAAGGAAAGAAAACACAAAGTCATCGACACAATAAAAAACACAATGAGCAAATACTTACCCCGTTTCTGGGTAGATTCTTTCGCAACCAATGTCTGGTTCTCGGCCTGTAAACCTGACACGTAACACCACCTCAATGTTCCGTTACCGTGTGTCAAGCACCCATTATGCGGTGCCTAATTTCCGGGTCAGGATATAAAAATATCCGGAAATTAATAAAATCGCCAAAAAAATACTTACCCACGAAATATGAATCGTGACAGCGATGTAGGACAGATCTGTGCGATACGATACTAGATAGGTGACGAATAAGGACGAATCTGTACGATAGTAAATAAGTGAGGATGAAGGACAGAACTGGACGATAGTAGATAGGTGGAGATGAAGGACCGATGTGTACGATACGATACTAGATAGGTGACGATGTAGGGCAGATCTGTACGATACGATACTAGATAGGTGACGATGTAGGACAGATGTGTAAGATACGATACTAGATAGATGACGATGTAGGACAGATCTCTACGATACTAGATAGGTGACTATGTAGGACAGACTTAAATGATACTAGATAGGTGACGATGTAGGACAGATCTGTACGATACTAGATAGGTGACGATGTAGGACAGATGGGGGCATCGACGAATCATTTTATAAGTATTCAGTAGCAGTTGGGTAGACTTTTCTTTTTCATTGTTACAGTGCACAGCGACATAGAACTATCTTCCTATCTTCCTTAATCTTTTTTCGTTCTATTCCAGATCAGGTAAAGATTGTATTGTCCTGGGGATAGCATGCATTCCGGACAAAAAGAAACCGCTACTCAAGGTGTAAGTAAAAATCCTCTACTCAAAGTGTAGGTACAAATCCGGTTCTTTGGTGTTTTAGTACAAATCCGTTACGCTAAGTATTAGTACGAATCCGCTACTCAAGGTGTAAATACAAATCCGCTACTCAAGGTGTCAGTACAAAACCGCTACTCAAGGTGATAGTACAAATCTCCTACTTAAAGTGTAAGTGAAAATCCGCATTTTTGGTGTTAGTACAAATCCACTACTCAAGGTGTCAGTAAAAATCCGCTAATTCGATCTTAGTACATATCCGCTACTCAAGGTGTCAGTAAAAATCCGCTAATTCGATCTTAGTACATATCCGCTACTCAAGGTGTAAATACAAATCCGCTACTCAAGGTGTCAGTAAAAATCCGCTACTCAAGGTGTAAGTACAGATGTGCTACTGAAGGTTTAAATACAAATCTGCAACTCAATGTGTAATTAAAAATCCTTTACTAAAGCTGTCAGTACAAAACCGCTACTCAAGGTGATAGTACAAATCCACTACTCAAGGTGTCAGTACAAATCCGCTATTTTGATCTGAGTACAAATCCGGTATTCAAGGTGTAATTACAAATCCGCTAATATGATCTAGTACAAATCCGCTACTCAAGGTGTCAGTACAAATCCTCCACTTCGATCTTAGTACAAATCCTCTACTCAAGTTGTAAGTACAAAACCGCTACTCAAGGTGTCAATACAAATCTCCTACTTAAAGTGTAAGTGAAAATCCGCATTTTTGGTGTTAGTACAAATCCACTACTCAAGGTGTCAGTAAAAATCCGCTAATTCGATCTTAGTACATATCCGCTACTCAAGGTGTCAGTAAAAATCCGCTAATTCGATCTTAGTACATATCCGCTACTCAAGGTGTAAGTAAAAATCCGTTACTCATGGTGTAAGTACAAATCCGCTACTTTGATCTTAGTACAAATCCGGTATTCAAGGTGTAAGTACAAATCCGCTACTTTGATCTTAGTACAAATCTGCTATTCAAGGTGTCAGTACAAATCCGCTACTCAGGGTGTCAGTACAAATCCGCTATTTTGATCTTAGTACCAATCCGGTATTCAAGGTGTAATTACAAATCCGCTAATATGATCTGAGTATAAATCCGCTACTCAAGGTGTAAGTAAAAATCCGCTACTCGAGGTGTCAGTACAAATCCGCTATTTTGATCTGAGTACAAATCCGGTTTTCAAGATGTAATTACAAATCCGCTGATATGATGTTAGTACAAATCCGCTACTCATAGGTGTAAATACAAATCCGCTATTCTACGTCAAAGTACAATTCCGCTACTCAAGGTGTAAGTAAAAATCCGCTACTTAAGGTGTCAAGACAAATCCGCTACTTTTGGTGTCAGTACAAATCCGCTACTCTAGGTGTAAGTACAATTCCGCTGCTCAAGGTTTGAGTGAAAATCCGCTACTCAAGGTGTAAATACAAATCCGCTACTCAAGGTGTAAATACAAATCCGCTACTCAAGGTGTAAATACAAATCCGCTACTCAAGGTGTCAGTAAAAATCCGCTACTCAAGGTGTAAGTACAGATGTGCTACTGAAGGTTTAAATACAAATCTGCAACTCAATGTGTAATTAAAAATCCTTTACTAAAGCTGTCAGTACAAAACCGCTACTCAAGGTGATAGTACAAATCCACTACTCAAGGTGTCAGTACAAATCCGCTATTTTGATCTGAGTACAAATCCGGTATTCAAGGTGTAATTACAAATCCGCTAATATGATCTAGTACAAATCCGCTACTCAAGGTGTCAGTACAAATCCTCCACTTCGATCTTAGTACAAATCCTCTACTCAAGTTGTAAGTACAAATCTGCTACTCAAAGTGTAAGTAATAATCCGCTACTCAAGGTGTAAGTAAAAATCCGCTACTCAAAGTGTCAGTACAAATCCGCTACTTTGATCTTAATACACATCCGCTAATCTAGGTGTCAGTAAAATTCCACTACTCAAGGTGTAAGTACAAATCCACTACTCAAGGTGTCAATACAAATCCGCTACTCTAGGTGTAAGTACTCAAAGTGTCAGTAAAAATCCACTACTCAAGGTGTCAGTACAATTCCGCTATTTTGATCTTAGTACAAATCCGGTATTCAAGGTGTAATTACAAATCCGCTAATATGATCTTAGTACAAATCCGCTACTCAAAGGTGTAAATACAAATCCGCTACTCAAAGTGATAGTACAAATCTACTACTCAAAGTGTAAGTAATAATCCGCATTTTTGGTGTTTGTAACAATCCGCTACTCCAGGTGTAAATACCAATCCGCTACTCTAGGTGTAGGTAAAAATCCGCTACTCAAGGTGTAAGTAAAAATCCCCTACTCAAGGTGTCAGTACAAATCCGCTACTTTGATCTTAATACAATTCCGCTACTCTAGGTGCCAGTAAAAATCCGCTACTCAAGGTGCAAGTACAAATCCGCTACTCAAGGTGTGAGTGAAAATCCGCTACTCAAGGTGTAAATACAAATCCACTACTCAAGGTGTCAGTACAAATCCGCTACTCAAAGTGATAGTACAAATCTACTACTCAAAGTGTAAGTAATAATCCGCATTTTTGGTGTTTGTAACAATCCGCTACTCCAGGTGTAAATACCAATCCGCTACTCTAGGTGTAAGTAAAAATCCGCTACTCAAGGTGTAAGTACAAATCCGCTACTCAAGGTGTAAGTAAAAATCCCCTACTCAAGGTGTCAGTACAAATCCGCTACTTTGATCTTAATACAATTCCGCTACTCTAGGTGTCAGTAAAATTCCACTACTCAAGGTGCAAGTACAAATCCGCTACTCAAGGTGTGAGTGAAAATCCGCTACTCAAGGTGTAAATACAAATCCACTACTCAAGGTGTCAGTACAAATCCGCTATTTTGATCTGAGTACAAATCCGGTATTCAAGGTGTAATTACAAATCCGCTAATATGGCCTTAGTACAAATCCGCTACTCAAAGGTGTCAGTAGAAATCCGCTACTCGAGGTGTAAGTAAAAATCCGCTACTCAAGGTGTAAGTAAAAATCCGCTACTCAAGGTGTAAGTACAAATCCGCTACTCAAGGTGTCAATACAAATCCGCTTCTCTAGATGTAAGTACTCAAAGTGTCAGTAAAAATCCACTACTCAAGGTGTCAGTACAATTCCGCTATTTTGATCTTAGTACAAATCCGGTATTCAAGGTTTAATTACAAATCCGCTAATATGATCCGCTACTCAAAGGTGTCAATACAAATCCCCTATTCTACGTGTAAGTACAAATCCGCTACTGAAGGTTTAAATACAAATCTGCAACTCAATGTGTAATTAAAAATCCTTTACTAAAGCTGTCAGTACAAAACCGCTACTCAAGGTGATAGTACAAATCTGATACTCAAAGTGTAAGTAATAATCCGCATTTTTGGTGTTAGTAGCAATCCGCTACTCCAGGTGTACATACAAATCCGCTATTCAAGGTGTCAGTACAAAACCGCTACTCAAGGTGTATATACAAATCCGCTGCTCAAGGTGATAGTAAAAATCTGCTACTCAAAGTGTAAGTGATAATCCGCATTTTTGGTTTTAGTACAAATCCGTTACTCCAGGTGTAAATACAAATTCGCTACTCTAGGTGTAAGTAAAAAACCGCTACTCAAGGTGTCAGTAAAAATCCACTTCTCAAGGTGTAAGTACAATTCCGCTACTCAAGGTGTCAGTACAAAACCGCTATTCAAGGTGTATATACAAATCCGCTGCTCAAGGTGATAGTAAAAATCTGCTACTCAAAGTGTAAGTGATAATCCGCATTTTTGGTTTTAGTACAAATCCGTTACTCCAGGTGTAAATACAAATTCGCTACTCTAGGTGTAAGTAAAAAACCGCTACTCAAGGTGTCAGTAAAAATCCACTTCTCAAGGTGTCAGTACAAATCCGCTATTTTGATCATAGTATAAATCCGGTATTCAAGGTGTAATTACAAATCCGCTAATATGATCTAAGTACAAATCCGCTACTCAAAGGTGTCAGTACAAATCCGCTACTTCGATCTTAGTACAAATCCGCTACTCAAGGTGTAAGTAAAAATACGCTACTCAAGGTGTCAGTACAAATCCGCGACTTTGATCTTAATACAATTCCGCTACTCTAGGTGTCAGTAAAAATCCGCTACTCAAGGTGTGAGTGAAAATCCGCTACTCAAGGAGTAAATACAAATCCAGTACTCAAGGTGTCAGTACAAATCCTCTACTCAAGGTGAAAGTACAAATCCGCTACTCAAGGTGTACTAGTAAGTAAAATTCCGCTACTCAAGGTGAAAGTAAAAATCTGCTATTCAAGGTGTCAGTACAAATCCGCTACTCAAGGTGTAAGTAAAAATCCGCTTATTACAAATTTTAAAAGTCCAGGTGTTAGTACAGGTCTCCTTGTCTAGGTGTTAGTACAGATCTACTTCTCTAGGTGTTAGTACAGATCAACTTATCTAGGTGTTAGTACAGATCTACTTCTCTAGGTGTTAGTACAGATCTCCTTCTCTAGGTGTTAGTACAGATGATCTCCTTCTCTAGGTGTTAGTACAGATTTACTTCTCTAGGTGTTAGTACAGATTCAGTACCCTAGGTGTTAGTACATATCTATTTTTCTAGGTGTTAGTACAGATTCAGTACCCTAGGTGTTAGTACAGATCTACTTTTCTAGGTGTTAGTACAGATTCAGTACCCTAGGTGTTAGTACAGATTCAGTACCCTAGGTGTTAGTACATATCTATTTTTCTAGGTGTTAGTAAAGATTCAGTACCCTAGGTGTTAGTACAGATCTATTTTTCTAGGTGTTAGTACAGATTCAGTACCCTAGGTGTTAGTACAGATTCAGTACCCTAGGTGTTAGTACATATCTATTTTTCTAGGTGTTAGTACAGATTCAGTACCCTAGGTGTTAGTACAGATCTACTTTTCTAGGTGTTAGTACAGATTCAGTACCCTAGGTGTTAGTACAGATTCAGTACCCTAGGTGTTAGTACATATCTATTTTTCTAGGTGTTAGTACAGATTCAGTACCCTAGGTGTTAGTACAGATCTACTTTTCTAGGTGTTAGTACAGATTCAGTACCCTAGGTGTTAGTACAGATTCAGTACCCTAGGTGTTAGTACAGATTCAGTACCCTAGGTGTTAGTACATATCTATTTTTCTAGGTGTTAGTACAGATTCAGTACCCTAGGTGTTAGTACAGATCTACTTTTCTAGGTGTTAGTACAGATTCAGTACCCTAGGTGTTAGTACAGATTCAGTACCCTAGGTGTTAGTACAGGTCCACTGCTCTAGGTGTTAGTACAGGTTCAATACCCTAGGTGTTAGTACAGGTTCAATACCCTAGGTGTTAGTACAGATTCAGTACCCTAGGTATTAGTACAGGTCCACTGCTCTAGGTGTTAGTACAGGTTCAATACCCTAGGTGTTAGTACAGATTCAGTACCCTAGGTATTAGTACAGATTCAGTACCCTAGGTATTAGTACAGGTCCACTGCTCTAGGTGTTAGTACAGATTCAGTACCCTAGGTGTTAGTACAGATTCAGTACCCTAGGTATTAGTACAGGTCCACTGCTCTATGTGTTAGTACAGATTCAGTACCCTAGGTGTTAGTACAGATTCAGTACCCTAGGTATTAGTACAGGTCCACTGCTCTAGGTGTTAGTACAGATTCAGTACCCTAGGTATTAGTACAGGTCCACTGCTCTATGTGTTAGTACAGATTCAGTACCCTAGGTGTTAGTACAGATTCAGTACCCTAGGTATTAGCACAGGTCCACTGCTCTAGGTGTTAGTACAGATCCTCTTCTCTAGTTGATAGTACAGATCTACTTCTCTGGGACATATTGTCAAATGGATCAAAGATAAACGTTATAATGCGGATGTAATCAGAAAACTGGTTTGTAGGAGATAGCATTATGTTTGATGTGTAATGTTCCTCTTCATCAGTGTCAACACAAGATTACCACAGATTACAGGTCTTTCTCATTAGTGTACGCATGCTCAGACTACATCTTCTTCCGGTCTGGTGAGTCAATTATCATCAATTGAAGAGCAGTTTCGCTTGATAAATACATGTATAATGTGTAAATGATCGTCTTTTACATACCGGTAAGGGAAAGCAAATTACAAGTGTCTTACGGGTGAACACACGGTCTTATAGGCAAACGCATAATCCTCTTGGCGAAAACATGAAGTCTTCCAAATGTTTGGGCGAAAACATGTAGTCTTATTAGCGATGGGTCAACACATTATTTAACTGGTGAAGACATGTAGTAATACAGGTTGACCTAAATATATTTAACTGGTGAAGACATGTAGTAATACAGGTTGACCTAAGTATATTTAACTGGTGAAGACATGTAGTAATACAGGTTGACCTAAGTATATTTAACTGGTGAAGACATGTAGTAATACAGGTTGACCTAAGTATATCTAACTGGTGAAGACATGTAGTGTTATAGGTTGACCTAAGTATATTTAACTGGTGAAGGCATGTAGTAATACAGGTTGACCTAAGTATATTTAACTATTGAAGAAATGTTGTGTTATAGGTTGACCTAAGTATATTTCAATAGGTACCTCTCATTGGTCACACACGCATGTATTATAAGGTGTAATCTACTTTTCAGAAAGAGTATGGTTACTAACGGGACAGCGTGGAGAAATGAACGCCAAGACTACCAAACGAGCCTACAAGACCATGCGTACTTACGGGATCAACAGCGAACCTCTCATACCTACATCGAATGACCAATGTTAATTAGTGACTGCGGTCAAGGTCAATGGAAAGGGTTATTGCAAGTGATATGTGGTCAAGAACAAGACTCGTTTATCCTGATTGGATCCTATATTGCTAACTGATTTGTTTGATTAACTTGTTTAACGCATGTTGTCATATTCACACTGATTGTGTCGACAAAAGGAATTAGATAAATAAAAATAAATACTATAACCAGAACAGACCTGTTATTTATGTTATCATTTTACTCATAGTAAAGTCTACAATATGAAGACAAAGTATCAACAACAAGTACTTTGTAAGTAGATTAGAGAACATTTATAAGGACAATTATAACGCTAATTTGGAAGAATGTCGGTATCTTATGAATGGTTGATAGTGGAAAGAGGTAACTTAAAACAAGCTTACAGTTAGTGTTGCATGCAACACATGTCCCCTGCCGTCAATTACTGTATTTATCAGCAAATAAGCCCATGTATGCTAATAAGCCCACCAATGTTCTGCATTATGTTACTATGATACCAGTGACTGTTGTATGTTACTATGATACCAGTGACTGTTATATGTGACTATAATACCAGTGACTGTTGTATGTTACTATGATACCATTGACTGTTGTATGTGACTATGACACCAGTGACTGTTGTATGTTACTATGATACCATTGACTGTTGTATGTTACTATGATACCTTTGACTGTTGTATGTTACTATGATACCAGTGACTGTTATATATTACTATGATACCAGTGGCCGCTGTATGTTACTATGATACCAGTGGCCGCTGTATGTTACTATGATACCAGTGGCTGTTTTATGTTACTATGATACCAGTGGCCGCTGTATGTTACTATGATACCAGTGGCTGTTTTATGTTACTATGATACCAGTGGCCGCTGTATGTTACTATGATACCAGTGGCCGCTGTATGTGACTATGATACCAGTGACTGTTGTATGTTACTATGATACCATTGACTGTTGTATGTTACTATGATACCATTGACTGTTGTATGTTACTATGATACCAGTGACTGTTATATATTACTATGATACCAGTGGCCGCTGTATGTTACTATGATACCAGTGGCCGCTGTATGTTACTATGATACCAGTGGCCGCTGTATGTGACTATGATACCAGTGGCTGTTTTATGTTACTATGATACCAGTGGCCGCTGTATGTTACTATGATACCAGTGGCCGCTGTATGTGACTATGATACCAGTGACTGTTGTATGTTACTATGATACCATTGACTGTTGTATGTTACTATGATACCATTGACTGTTGTATGTTACTATGATACCTTTGACTGTTGTATGTTACTATGATACCATTGACTGTTATATATTACTATGATACCAGTGGCCGCTGTATGTTACTATAATACCTGTGGCCCATGTATGTTACTATGATACCAGAAGCCGCTGTATGTTACTATGATACCAGTGGCTGTTTTATGTTATTATGATACCAGTGGCCGCTGTTACTATGATACCAGTGGCTGTTTTATGTTTCTATGATACCAGTGGCTGTTTATGTTTCTATGATACCAGTGGCTGTTTTATGTTTCTATGATACCAGTGGCTGTTTATGTTTCTATGATACCAGTGGCTGTTTTATGTTACTATGATACCAGTGGCTGTTTTATGTTACTATGATACCAGTGATATATATAGTGACGTCAGCCAGTATTTACTGTTTATGATATCTATAGTGACATGTGTCTGTATTCACTATTGATGACATTGATAATGACATGTGTCTGTATTCACTATTGATGGTATATATAGTGACATGTGTCAGTATTTACTGTTGATGAAATTGATAGTGACGTGTGTCAGTATGTACTATTGATGATATCTATAGTGACGTGTGTCAGTATGTACTGTTGATGATATCTATAGTGATATGTGTCAGTATGTGTTGTTCATGATATCTGTAGTGACGTGTGTCAGTATTCACTGTTGTGGTATATATAGTGACATATGTCAGTATTTACTGTTGATGACATTGATAGTGACGTGTGTCAATATGAACTTTTGATAATATCTACAGTGACATGTGTCTATATTTACTGCTGATGATATCTATAATGACATGTGTCAGTATTTACTGTTGATGATATATATAGTGACATGTGTCTGTATTCACTATTGGTGATATCTATAGTGACATGTGTCTGTATTCACTATTGTTGACATTGATAATGACATGTGTCTGTATTCACTATTGATGGTATATATAGTGACATGTGTCAGTATATACTGTTGATGAAATTGATAGTGAAGTGTGTCAGTATGTACTGTTGATGATATATATTGTGATATGTGTCTGTATTTACTGTTGGTGATATCTATAGTGACATGTGTCAGTATTTACTGTTGATGATATCTATAGTGACATGTGTCAGTATTTACTGTTGATGATATCTATAGTGACATGTGCATATATTCACTATTGGTGATATATATAGTGACGTCAGCCAGTATTTACTGTTTATGATATCTATAGTGACATGTGTCTGTATTCACTATTGATGACATTGATAATGACATGTGTCTGTATTCACTATTGATGGTATATATAGTGACATGTGTCAGTATTTACTGTTGATGATATCTATAGTGACATGTGTCTGTATTTACTGTTGATGATATCTATAGTGACATGTGTCAGTATTTACTGTTGATGATATCTATAGTGACATGTGTCAGTATTTACTGTTGATGATATCTACAGTGACATGTGTCAGTATTTACTGTTGATGATATCTATAGTGACATGTGTTTGTATTTACTGTGGATGATGTCTATAGTGACATGTGTGTGTATTTACTGTTGATGATATCTATAGTGACATGTGTCAGTATTTACTGTTGATGATATCTATAGTGACATGTGTGTACATGTGTATTTACTGTTGATGATATCTATAGTGACATGTGTCAGTATTTACTGTTGATGATATCTATAGTGACATGTATAGTGACATGTGTCAGTATTTACTGTTGATGATATCTATAGTGACATGTGTCTGTATTTACTGTTGATGATATCTATAGTGACATGTGTCTGTATTTACTGTTGATGATATCTATAGTGACATGTGTCAGTATTTACTGTTGATGATATCTATAGTGACATGTGTCAGTATTTACTGTTGATGATATCTATAGTGACATGTGTCAGTATTTACTGTTGATGATATCTATAGTGACATGTGTCTGTATTTACTGTTGATGATATCTATAGTGACATGTGTCAGTATTTACTGTTGATGATATCTATAGTGACATGTGTCAGTATTTACTGTTGATGATATCTATAGTGACATGTTTTAGTATTTACTGTTGATGATATCTATAGTGACATGTGTAGTATTTACTGTTGATGATATCAGTGACTTGTGTCTGTATTTACTGTTGATGATATATATTGTGATATGTGTCTGTATTTACTGTTGGTGATATCTATAGTGACATGTGTCAGTATTTACTGCTGATGATATCTACAGTGACATGTGTCAGTATTTACTGTTGATGATATCTATAGTGACATGTTTTAGTATTTACTGTTGATGATATCTATAGTTACATGTGTCTGTATTTACTGTTGATGATATCGATAGTGACAGGTGTCAGTATTTATTGTTGATGATATATATTGTGACATGTGTCAGTATTTACTGTTGATGATATCTATAGTGACATGTGTCAGTATTTACTGTTGATGATATCTATAGTGACATGTGTCAGTATTTACTGTTGATGATATCTACAGTGATATGTGTCAGTATTTACTGCTGATGATATCTACAGTGACATGTGTCAGTATTTACTGTTGATGATATCTATAGTGACATGTGTATGTATTTACTGTTGATGATATCTATAGTGACATGTGTCAGTATTTACTGTTGATGATATCTATAGTGACATGTGTCAGTATTTACTGTTGATGATATCTATAGTGACTTGTGTCATTATTTACTGTTGATGATATCTATAGTGACATGTGTCAGTACTTACTGTTGATGATATCTATAGTGACATATGTCAGTATTTACTGTTGATGATATCTATAGTGACATATGTCAGTATTTACTGTTGATGATATCTATAGTGACATGTGTCAGTATTTACTGTTGATGATATCTATAGTGACATGTGTCAGTATTTACTGTTGATGTATGTATTTACTGTTGATGATATCTATAGTGACATGTGTCTGTATTTACTGTTGATGATATCTATAGTGACATGTGTCTGTATTTACTGTTGATGATATCTATAGTGACATGTGTCAGTATTTACTGTTGATGATATCTATAGTGACATGTGTCTGTATTTACTGTTGATGATATCTATAGTGACATGTGTCTGTATTTACTGTTGATGATATCTATAGTGACATGTGTCTGTATTTACTGTTGATGATATCTATAGTGACATGTGTCAGTATTTACTGTTGATGATATCTATAGTGACATGTGTCTGTATTTACTGTTGATGATATCTATAGTGACATGTGTCAGTATTTACTGTTGATGATATCTATAGTGACATGTTTTAGTATTTACAGTTGATGATATCTATAGTGACATGTGTATGTATTTACTGTTGATGATATCTATAGTGACATGTGTCAGTATTTACTGTTGATGATATCTATAGTGACATGTGTCAGTATTTACTGTTGATTTACTGTTGATGATATCTATAGTGACATGTGTCAGTATTTACTGTTGATGATATCTATAGTGACATGTGTCAGTATTTACTGTTGATGATATCTATAGTGACATGTGTCAGTATTTACTGTTGATGATATCTATAGTGACATGTGTCAGTATTTACTGATGATGATATCTATAGTGACATGTGTCAGTATTTACTGTTGATGATATCTATAGTGACATGTATTTACTGTTGATGATATATAGTACTGTTGATGATATCTATAGTGACATGTGTCAGTATTTACTGTTGATGATATCTATAGTATAGTGATGATACTATAGTGACATGTGTCAGTATTTACTGTTGATGATATCTATAGTGACATGTTTTAGTATTTACTGTTGATGATATCTATAGTGACATGTGTCAGTATTAACTGTTGATGATATCTATAGTGACATGTGTCTGTATTTACTGTTGATGATATCTATAGTGACATGTGTC